CCCCATCCCGGGCCCAGCGAAAGCCGCCTGCCTTCTCCCTCTCCGCACCTCTGCGCCCCAGTCGGGCGCCCGCGGGCTGACCCTCCTCCGACCTCGTCTCTCGGCCGAGCTGCTCGCGGAGTCCCGTCGGGGTGTCCCGCCCTCGCGCGGGGACCAGGAGAGAGAAAGGAGGGAGAAAGACACACGCAGAGGCAGAGAAAGAGAAAGAGACAGACAGGTAGGGAAAGACAGACGGAGAGTGGCCAAAACAGGACAAAGAGAGAGACAAAGAAACAGGGGAGGAGAGGCTGGAAAGGAGGGGTGAGAGCTCCCAGATGCAGCCCCTCTGCTGGGATCCACTCGTCCGGGGCCCTGCACCGCCCAGCTCCCCCTTCTTTCCCCTTCCCGGATCTGGGACTGAGGTGGGAAGGGTGGCTTCTTTGTTTCTCTGAAGCACCCAAGAAATCTGGCCAGGTAGATTTCAGGGCCCCCCACACCGTTGCCTCTGCACCTGACTGTTCTTTGTGACTCAGTTTACCTCTCTGTAAAATGTGCGTACACTGGGGGGACCAGGTTCTGGGTCTGATAGTCTGAGGTTCTGGGGCACACTAGTCTGGGCAAGGCCCATCCTGCAACCCCTCCAACCCCATTGCCATGGGTTGCCACTAGCCCTACTCCACCCCAGCATCGTCAGAGTCCCGCAGCTTCTGAGCCGCTGCCTCTTTGAAGCCCTCCCTGACTCCATCTCAAACAGTAATTACGGGAGAGGGGCTGGGGGAGGGGCTGGCGGACTCCTCGGCGGGGGCGGGGCGGTCGATGAATTCGAATTACCGTCTCTAATTCATCACCGTCGCTGGGTCGATAGCTTCGGCCGTCTTCAAATATTGTTTAAATTGCAACTCCGAAGGAAAAGTATTTTTTGTAACTGATCAGAAAATATATAGAAAATAAAATATCAGATGAAGGCGATTGAAAGAAGAGCCCTCTTCCCCTCTTTGCCTGCTGGTGAGCCCTGAGCCCAGATGAAGGAGACCAGCATGGGGGAAACTGAGGCAGAGAGGGAGCCAGCGCCAGAGCTAATGGGGGTGGGCGCAGGGATGGCGGACATCAGGGCTGGCAGTGGGTGGGCGTCGCGGTGGCAGGGCTGCTGGGAGTCTGGAGGGGATGGCGGTTGAGCTGGTAAAGCCACAGCAGTTGCCTCCTGCCCCCCATCCTGAGCCGAGGACAGGCTCAGCCCCTGTCTCTCTCCCCAGTCTACAGGTGGAGTCCCAGACAGATGCTGAGTGGGGATGGGGGTTCTGAGGCTGAAGAGACTTAGCCCACGAGGTCCAATCCACGAGTTCTGCTGGGAGGGATAGCTATTCACCCCCAGCAAGCGCTCTGGACCCCCCCCCCACAAAGACCGATGCGCCTTCTGTAAAACCTGGCCTGGAACCACAAGGGTCCACATCTCTTACAGACCCTCACGAAAGACATCCCAGCAGGGAACTTAGAGACTCAGCCTCCCCTGGTCTCTGTCACTGACTGATTCTGGGTGAGGGTTTGAGCCTCAGTTTCCTCATCTGAGAAATGGACAGAATCAGATGCCACCTGGTAGGTGCTTGTTGAGGTTATTCTTAGCAACCCTGCCTCCCAGCCTCTCAGGATGCACTCCCAGAGCCTGTCCTCTGTGGCCACGCTGCTTTATCATACCTAACACCTACATCTCCTCATCTTCAGGGAGGGCCTGAGTCACCCCCTGGCAGCCTGTGCCTCGTGAGAGCCACAGGGAGTGAGCAGGGGTGCCAGAAGGGGCCTGGGGACCCCCAGGGGACACTGCAGGCCCCCACAGGGAAGCGCTGAGCGGAGGGAGACTGTATGGGGCTGTGTGTGTCAGAGCCATGTGGGGCTGCGCAGGAAGCCCCGGGTCCCCCAGACAAGCCTCCTCCTTCCAGGCCGCAGGACCCTCATGGGGCGGCCCCAGCACCTGCCCAGGGGCAGTGATTCTGGCTCTTCCCCCCAGGCGGGGGGGGAGAGAGCAGAGAGGGCAGGCTGTCAGGTGGGGAGGGGCCGGCTGGGATGCCCAAGGCCCTCCTCCTCGGTTCACCCATCAGGAATGAGAGAAGCCATCCCGCAAAAGGATCTTTTAAGCCAGTTTGGATACTAACCCCACTTTACGGACCATCAAGCCAAGGTTGAAAGGAAGGCACTCACCAACACCACACACCTGGCGTGAAGTGGAGCCAGCTCCTCCAGGAGGGAGGACAGCCTCAGCCTCGAGGGCAGTAAATGGGGAGGCAGGGCCGGGGGTGGGGCAGAGCCGGGGGAGGGGCTGGAAGCCCGGCTGGGGGTGCTCAGGCTCCCACCTCCTGCAAGGATGAGCGGACATCCCAGGCAGGCGGCCCAGCAGAGACATGGCTGGGAGGGGAAGCTCAGTGGACTGAGGCCAGGGACAGGCGGGTGGCTCTGAAGGTCATGTCAAGGTCTACCTTACAAAGAGCTTGCATGACCCTTGGGCCAGGAGAGGAGGCCTGCACTTTTCCTTTGTGACTCAGGAGGACATGATCATGGGGCCCACGTGAGACTCCCACGCACCAACCCAGGGACCACCAGTGACCCTCCAGGGAGGGTGTGCAAGGCTGGGTCCCCGTTTCCTCCTTCCCAGCTTGGAGCCACTGCTTCTGCTTTTCCTGGCAAACTACCCCCTCCTGGCTGCTGGCCCTCAGAGCGAGCCTGGGCTCCGTGTTGGAGATCCAGCCCTCCCTGAACCCCAGGTCTGATAATCCCTTCCTGCCTGGGAGAAACGGATGGTCACCCCTACTTCACAGAGAAGCACACAGACTAATATGCAGGCAAGGGGCTGGCACTGGCCTTTAGCTCCTTTATTCTGAAGTCTCCACAGCCTAAAATCCTCGGACTAACCAAGACCCGGCCACCTTCCCTAACCGCCCTCCCATTACAGTGCTGCCTCCCTATCAACCATCACCACTCTAGTCTGAGCAACCCACCTCTGGCCACCTCCTCCTCGTTGCTGGTCTCCAGGTTCCACTCCCACCCCTGGTGTCCTCTCTTTGAAGCTGGAGGGGGCTTTTTATGGTAACTCAGAGCTCGTCACTTTTCTGCTTGGCACCCAGCCTCGTGGCTCCTCAGAGCTCAGAGGAGAAGGAAACTTCCTAACTTTCTGCCCTGCTCGGATGCAGGTGGAACCACCAAGGACGAAGGCTGGGAGATGGGAAGCCAGAGAGGCTGTAAGGATGGAGGCCAGGCCCCTGCAGTCGGAGTCTTTGTATGTAGTGGGGAGCTTGGCTTAACCAGGGAGCACAGGTTTTTAATTAAATATGGCCCTTGATCAATAAGGAAGGCTGCACTCGCGGGGGAGGAGAGAGGCTGGGCTGGAGCCAAGGGTGGCCTGGGAGACCCCGGTGATCTTGAGCACTCCGGGGACACCTGCAGCCTCAGTTTCCCACCTGCCAAGTAGGCATGGCTGTGGGTGGGACTAGGACTCAGGGCTCTCCAGCCGCTGAAGTCTTGTCCTGTGCACAGATGTGGGGCTGGGAGGGGGTCTTAGACCTAACGAGCCACACGCACAAAGCACAGCCTGGCGGCAGATGGAAACAGGCAAGGAGAGGCGTCACCAAGGTTTCGGGCCACCAAGGAGAGGAGACGGAAGTGTAGATGTGCCGAGGACACATTGTAGACGCAGTGTAGATGGGAATGCAAGTGAAGATGTGAACTAGCGGGGATGTAAGCGTAGATCCTCCCGGGACCCAAGTGTAGACGCTGATATCCGCACTAGGACAAGCACCTGCGACTCTGGCTCAGGACCCCTCACCCTCCCTCGGGCCGGGCCTGGCGTATCTGAGGCAGCGCCGGGGGCGGGGATGTAGGGAAGAACCCACCTTCTTCCTCCAACACCTGCGCAGGTGCCTGGGAATTATTCGTGGGCCACGAACTGGGCCGTGGGACCACCTCTCTTCCGCATGTGGTCAGTTGCCATTGGAGCCCACTCCCCGGTGCTAGGGGGTTAGGAGAGGGTCGCTTCCCCGCCGTGACCTGGGCGGGTGAATGGGGTACCTGGTGCGGGAACAGCAGGGGTGCGTGCTTCCCTAAGCGGCCGCAGAGCCTCTGTGCGCGCATTGATGTCAGTGCCTCAGCTTCCCCCACCAGGCCAATGCCGCCCCCTTAGGGCCGAGAAAGCCACAGAGTGCAGCCAGGACACGTCTGTCCCTGGCAGATGTGGGATCTCCCAAACCCGAAAGGATTTCGCGCGCATCCGCCCTCCACCGCATGGCGGGACGGGGGCGCACGCAGCCCCACGTAAGGAGACCTAGACCCTTGCACCGCGCACCCGCAGCCTCCGAGCCTCAGGGGCACCAGCGGGCGTTCGACGC